CTTAAATTATATGCTACATGTTTTTATTTTCATTGTGACTATTGATCGTTATATTTTGGACATAATAATAACAACAATAATAATAATAATTGTTAAAAAACATAAACAAGCACAGTCTCTAGTGAACAGGCAGGTGACTAATTTAAAAATGTAATTGGATTTTTAGTTTCAACTGCTATGTGCTATTATCAAGCTTTTTATTAATTTGTGCATGAAAAACTAATCAACTTATAACTCCCCAGCCTGAGGAGTGTAACTAAAGCCTCAGTAAACATCTGTGCAGTTCATTTTCCCCAAGCCTGTTGTAGGTTCCCTCTACTTGCAAATCCATTCTTGTGCTCTGCAGCATATGAAAGCCAAGGTCAGCATATTGTGTAACATTCAGTTTTTTCTTGTAGTCACTTTTCAGCCACCTCTCTAATCCACATCAAGGCCATATCATTCATTGTAAAACAAGTTGTTTTTTTTCCCCCAAACTGATAAGCAGGAGGGTTATCCACCCCCCCAAAAATGCTCCAAAATGTTAATTTCCATTTCAGCTAATACACATTAGAGGTACAGAGGTATGAATATCCACTTCCCTGAAAGACTGGTTAAAGAAAATGTTCATTTGTAGTGAATTTTGCAAGAATAAACCAATTTAAGTCTAAGGGCAACCCTTTTATCGCTGTGGTTCATGGGCATTCTCAGAGGGTCTGACTGTGCACACTGCTCTCACTCTGTATTTTAAAAATGCAGGAACTCTTTCCTTTCCAACCCTGCTTTTACCGTGATGTACATTTGCATACCCTGCTCTTGCATCAAAGCTGTCATCAAGACAATTGTAGATCCCTCTCTCTCCCTCTCTCTCTGTATGTATATGTATAGGGGTGGTGGGCTTCCAAACCAGAGTTTGAGTCTAACCCTAACCCTAACTTAACCAGTGTTTTTTGTTAAACATTTCCCATAAGCCCCAGATCAATGTTGATTAAATGTCAAAAGAAGTGAGTCCATTAGTGAGTTTAGAGGTTGCCACTAGCTCACAGAGCAATAACAGTTTGCAATAACAGCAGGACAGAGATGGCCATCTTTAAATAGCAGAGGTGACAGCTAAGTTGTTTAAAAATGCCTTTATTGGAGTGTTGGAGAATTTTATGAAAATTGATGAAACCACTTTACGATGACCTAAGTACCTTCACTGGGAAATGTTCGTTGAAGCTAGAATTTTTATTTTTTGATGCACTGTACACTAGTAATTGTAATGATAAAGGTTTCAATTTTTAATGAGAACTGCTGTAGTGGATGTCTTGGAAGATGAAAAGTAAACCCCAAGAACACACTTCATTTCTTCCAGAAAAATGTGTGAAAGAAATGCTGAGTGAAAAATGTACTGTGCCAACTGAAACTGGTAGAATATTTAGCCATCATGACTCGGGTGCAGTGATTAGTGCTGTCGCCTCACAGCAAGAAGGTTCTAGGTTCGAGCCCCAGCTGACCCCGGGGCCTTTCTGTGTGGGGTTCGCATGTTTTCCCTGTGCCTGTGTGGGTTGTCCCTGGGTACTCTAGATTCTTCACAAATCCAAAAGTCATGTTGATTTGAGACTCTAAATTTCCCCTAGGAGTGAGTGTGGGTGTCTGTCTCTAAGATTCGGCCCTGTGACAGACTGGCAACCCATCCAGGATGTACCCCACCTCTCGCCCAATGTCAGCTGGGATTAGTTCCAGTCCCCCCACGACCCTCTGCAGGATAAGCAGTATAGATAATGGATGGATGGACTCAGGACTACAGAAATTCAGTTACATTTGTCTGGACATTAATAAACAGTGTCAATAACCAGGGTATAAATTTCACCTACAGCCATGGCCGTTGTTGCCCTTGCATCTGGCTGTGAAGCCCTTTATATTTGTCAGAGTTACACAGTCACGGTGGCCGGTGTGCTCTCATCAGATGTGACAGAGCTTTCAACTCTGTCAAATCTTCTGAGGTCCATCAGATCTCAGTAATGTTCAGCCACTCAGGTACAGTAGATGTGTGTTTCATTGCCTTATTAAGGAGAACAGTGCATTTACTGAGGCTGTTCACTCAGGAACACTCCTCATAAAACCTCCACGGTAGCTACATGTACATTTGCATAATATGCTGTAGAACTGAATGTTATTCACTCTCTAACACTGGTCGGTAACATCACCATTTTTACAAATGGCTGGTGAACTTCTGTTGACTACGTTCACTATATCTATGTGCTGTTTTTAGCTCAGAGTGTGTATCAGTCAAGCTAGTGGTGTTGCGCATGAAATACCTGTCAGGAAGTCTGTCAGGTTAGCCCTGGTTTTACTGGGTTAGCACATCAAGGTAAGTAATGTTTGGCTTTACTGTATGTATAAGCTGTAAGAGAACTCAAAGGCAGTAAAACATTGCATGTAGCTGTTTTCTCTGTTATCAGAAATACTGCATATGCTAAATGAGCAGTACTGAAATATTATTTACTGTACACATGTTATTTTTAGTTGATTACAAGTTATTCAATGTGCAGCATATGTAAATGCAGAAGTTAGCCTACACTGTAAAATGAGAGAATCGGTGAAAAAGCTTTACATTTATCTTTAGTTTTTAGTTTACCAGAAGCGATGCTGGTCATTGTGCTAATTATGATGCCAGAAGAATGACATTATTGCTCCTGTTAGAGTAATTAACAGTAATTACACATCCTTTCCTCCGTTTTCTCCTTAATACATCCATCTTTTCTCTGACCCGTGATCTTGAGCAACGTCAGCAGACTGACAGCTGGATCAGGTGTTAAGAGTTCAGTAAGCCTGAGAACCTAAATGTGCACAGATAGTGCTATGTACTATCCAAATTATAATAAAGGCACACCATTATTAGTATCGCCAGTGTCACACATGAAATATCTCTGCATATTTCTTTTAAACAGCTATTCAGGTATGTGCGCTTTAATTTCTGAAATTTATGGCCTGCCAGTAGCATACCCCAGGGTTTTGCAGTCTTCAAATATCAACATTCTTCCTGGCATCATATTCTTTATACAGTATACTAAATCTAAGATTAGTAGAAGACACTACTACACATCATTCTGATACAGTTTGGGTGAAAGCATTTTGAGGTGTTTTGAGCCTTAATGTGATGATGATGAGTGGATTGTATTGTCATATTACAAAATGCTGGTAGATACATCTTACTCAGAAGAAATAAAACATTTCCTGCTTGGCCAAAGCAGGAAATGGCCAATTGCGAAACATCACTGGTACTTTAAACAAAAGTTTGATTTGTGGAGGCACACTAGTTTACTGAGAGTATACTCCAACAGGTTTTACAGTCCATATCACTAGGCTGTTAATTTGAATCAGGTCATATATGTGCATCCTTGATGAATTGCACTATACCAGAAATGATGCCCATTATTTATCCTCATTTAACCAGGTGAAGCCTCATTGAGGTTGGCATCTCTTTTTCAAGTGGCCAAGAGGGCAGCACAAGATTGATCAGTGAATTGTTGCAACAGTAGACACAAAACAATACAAATAAACCAATACAACTGACACACACGGCAGTAAACACAACGTCGAAGCCTTATATACAGTATATGTTTCATAAATGCATCATGTCCACGAGGATTCAGCTACAGCCAAAGCACACTAGTCAGTTATCGCCAGCTGTCTGCTGTGAGACCACGGGGGATTGTTACACCCACCATAACAAAAGCAGGGACGTTCAAAGGCGGAAGCAATACAGCTCAAGGTTCCCTTGAACAAAACTGATAATCTGATGTGCAGAAGAGGAGAGGGGGTTCACAACAGACCTAATATACGCTGAGTAATGAGGAGTGTTCACCTGAACACAGACCTCATCAATAGAGCCTTTTCTTCATCTTGATTCGTATAATACCTGTTGATTAAACAATCTGAGCGATCCAACTGATGCTCCCTGGTGACCTCTCCTATTTGTAAGGGAGACAAATTAAAGTCCTCCATCAAAATGTGATCGATGCCACAGAGCCTCTGGCTGAAATGGGAACCACAGTATAATGAAGCTATAATTTAACTTTACAGCACAGTAAATGAATGACGGGCATTTGAATGAAGCCTGCAAGGATTTCCTGTTAACCTCTGCTCTCTTACATATCAATTTGAAAAAGTAACCTAAGTTTAACTTTCCTTTAAAACATTTGTTTCACAAAATCATTATTACCACTACAGTATTCATGGTGTTATTTTTAGATATTTTGTTGATTGATTTATTCATTCGTTCAGTGAAGAACTGCTTGATCGGTGCCCTACTGAAACAAAACCAATTCTGAAAGGAATCTGTGTGACTCTGTGTTACGTGGCACAAAAAGAATTTAATTTAGATCACAAGGAGCTTTCTGAAACATATCTCACACTTGGATTAATTTTGTTACTTGTGAAATATGAACAATGAAATCCTTGGCAAAAGTTTTCAGGAGTGTAGCGCCCTTTTTTTCTTTTTTAAACTAAATTTATAATAAAAAATCAATGGAAATGCTACATTCTACTGAAGATCTGACAACTTTAGGTGGCACTTTACTTTCCTTTATTGGATGCTTTTTGGGTTATTTCATAGTAGTGCTCCACTCCTGATAAAATCTTATTTTTAACCAGTGCAACCAGCTGAATATTTTCATCCCTGCTTTGGTGCAGTACACTCCACTCATTCAAATTCAGGATGATATTGCTAACTTTTTGTGAGCATCAGATACAACACTAAAGCAAAGCACAAAGAAGTAAAATTGCCTACGACTGGAAGTCTTTAGCAGACAGTGACTTACTTTAACAATAGCTTCCTTGTTGAATGGATTCTACCTTCTTATTATTTTATATCAATGGGGGAAAATGTGTTTGCTTATGGCTAATCTACTTGAGATTGCTCCTTTCTAAACTACGGCTTTCATACTGTCACCTGCCCCAAATACATATGAATAAGGACTCAGACTTCACAAAGACAGCTTCGGCATGCATCAAAAGTTCTTAATAAGATACTTTACCAGCAAGGCACCCCATAAGTGACTGCAGCACCAGCAGTTTCCATAGCAACATCATCTTCAATTCTGTAGGGTTAAAGTAGTCTCACATCCAATCACAAACGTATGGAATCCGATTTGCACCTGTCTGGTTTCCCAATCTGCAGAAAAAGAAGCAGGTGAGATGAGTAAGGCGGTAAGGTTCTCATTAGAAGCACCTCTGAAAATGAATCTTTGTCTTTGTCCTGTTTGGCAGGATCATTTCAGATACAGAGCACAAACTGACAGCAAGAATGCTCAGCAAAGAGCACTGTGACAGTAGTAATTAGACCTGCATTTGTTAAGCTTAACTTTATCTTGTGACTTTGTATTATATCTAATTGACCACATTTACAATATCCTACTTTAATCATCAAATTCAAGCTGCAACTTAATTCTATTTCCATTTTCCTTAAAGTTGCACAAAAAAGAGACATTTTCAGTTTTGGGTGGATGGTGGGCACATGAACACAAAATAACTCATATACATTCATTTCCATATCTCCAGCAACTCCAGGGACAGCTACTTTTAAGTCAATATGAAAGCAAAGCCACTCCTATAAGTTCTCATAGCACTGTTCTTGCTTGAAGCCTCATAGCTTTTATGCTCATAAAAGTGAAAAGCCAAAAAGATGAAAACCCCTGAAACATCCAGAAGAATTTCACAACAGTCGTGTGCTTTTCCCACAACAGAGATAATATCTCCCTGGAGTCAGAATTAAAACTTGAAAGATTGCCGTGTCAGGAAGGTAGCACTTCTCTGCATCTCAACCTCAGTGACAGGAAAGAAGCTGAAGGAATAAATGAACCTGAGGTGAAAAAAAGCCAGTTAAAAGTCTTGTCAGTATTCATGAACACTATTTAAAATTTCTGTGTCAAAAAGAAACACAAACATTATGAAACTGTTTTTGTTGGGGACTACTCACCGATACATGCCACTAAGTTTTCGACACATTCATTATCTTGATACAACGCATGGTGAACCGAGTACATAGGAGGATTTACTGCAAGTCTTCTCCCTAGTTAATGGTCGGCTTTAAAAACAGATTAAGCTGCACAAAAACTCCACAAATTGCAGAGTTCTCATCATAATACTTTTAGTTCATAATTTGTAACTTCAATCTTTTTATTAGGTTTTCATTTCATTTCATTTGCCTTTATTCCCAGGCTTTTGGCGTAGCCACTGCACATCTTATGGACATGTCATATATTGTTACTTTTGGGATACATTAGCTGAATCAGAAATGACATATTAGAGGAAACAATGTGAAAAAGGTTGCAGACAAATTGAAATTGTGTGTGTATATGAATGGACAGGTGAAAGTCTCAGTGTTTAACTAACAGTATAAACTAACATTAGTACTTAGTACTACTACTTCACAGAAACAAAACAGTAATGGTAACATGGAATCTCTATATTAGATGCAAGCTACATGGCTAAAGTTTGACAAACTTGGGTCATGATATTTTTTTTCTCAATAAACTCCACTCAGTTAATACTAAAAAAACATTTCACTTTTTTTATGAGTTTGGAGTTAGGAATGTAAATTTAGTTTAAATAAAACATGACCAGATAAAATAAAGCAAAGATATCTATAATATAAACCAAATCTAAACAACAAATTTCTTCCGAAATAATGTAAGTTGGGGATAGATGTGATCAGCAATAAACAGGAACAAATCGCCCACCGTTGTTTGGTCTGCAGGCCATGGAAAATCATGCTGCATTGGTTACTGGCAGCACTGCTAGTTCAGTCTGTACTGCAACTCTGGATGTGCTGTCAAATGGAATACACCTGACACTGAGGGACCATCACATTGTGAGACAGGATCAAAGATAGTAAACAGCATCATTTTGATAATTTCTTAACACCTCGCTGAGTCACCAGACTGGCTCCTTTAAATGAATAACACACTCTTTTGAATGCAGCCTTATGAATAACTAGCTTTTTTGATGGGTATTTACTTTAAAAGGGTTGATGAGTTATGCGGGACACAGTGGTATGTATGAGGGAAGACTAGAGGAGTCAGTGGAAATCTCAGAGGCTGCCTCCCAAAAGGCTGTACAGATGTAAGAATTAAAGTACTACAATCACTTTAGTAGTAGACATTTTGAGGAACTCCTCTAGGAAACATTCGGCATTAATCTAATTTCTCCTGGGTAAAAATATATTTAGCTTTGAGACATGTTCAACACAAACACCTCAAAATAAAATCTTTGACTAATTTTGCCATTACAGAAAAGCACAGAAATCTTTTTACCCACCTCTGCTGTGATTCAGCATCAACAGGACAAAGTTTTAAAACAAAGCACCTGAAACAGTTTGAGTAGGCAAGGTTCTCATTAATCTCAGATTCTCTACCTTTCAGATCTGTCTCCACCTACAGAAAGAGCCCTTTAATATCCATACATCATATTGAGGGTTGTCAGAGTCTGTCTTGGGTATATCAGTGGTACACGGCTGTGCCTTACTGTTAGTGAGCAGTTTTATACATGTTAAAATGTGTCTTATGAAAACAATAAGACCTGTGCCTATTAGGCTAATGTCTGTTCTGTCTGTGGTGTTACTGCAAATTAAAAGATGAATTAGTACAGACATCTATTATGATGCACAGAGGCACAGCACAGCACAGCCAACTACTCAAATTAGTTTATGTACAAGAAGACACCTATTCCCGTAACAAAGCCACATTTAACAATAACAAATATGTTAAACTTTGCTACCAACCAGAGGCAGTAATCCACAAACTGATCTGCCATATATGCCCCAATTCAATTCAGTTTTATTTGTATAGCGCCAAAAAAAATCATCTCAGGGCACTTCACTCTAGGGTCTATACTTTAGAGTATTGTAGAGAAAAACCCAACAAATCCACCTTGAGCAAGCACATGGTGACAGTGAGGAGGAAAAACTCCCTTTAACAGAAGAAACCTCTGACAGAACCAGCTCTTGGTGGGCGGCCTTCTGTCTTGACCGGTTGGGGTGAGTGGATAGAGGAGACATTTCCACTGAATACACTGGGAAATTATGGAAGCAGACAAAATGCTAATTGTGATAGTAACATCCCTTCAGTTCAGAAAGGGCATGTCTCTATAGAGTCTGTTTCACAATTAATTATTAAAAAGATAAAGATGCACTAATCATGTTCTCCCTGTGCCTGTGTGGGTTCTTTCTGGGTACTCCGGCTTCCTCCCACAGTCCAGAGGCATGTACGTAGGTTGATTGGAGACTCTAAATTGCCCGTAGGAGAGAGTGTGCGTGTTTGTGATTCTTTGTCTACATGTCAGCCATGTGATAGCCTGGCAGCCTGTCCAGGGTGGACCCCGCTTCTCGCCCAGTGTCAGCTGGGATTGGCTCCAGCCTGCCACGACCCTATTCAGGAATAGACGGTATAAATAATGGATGTGCGGCTGGATTAAAGACACACCAATTAATATTTTTATATGAACAATAGAAAAATGACTGTGTGATGTGAATTGTTGCGCATAGTGACAACCCAGCACAGAATTATCACCAAACTCTGCAGTTTCCCTCAGTTCTACAAAGTGTTGAAGTATCTTTCAGCTCACTGTTTTGGTGTTACAGCCCACAGTGTTAAGCTCTCATCAGCCTTGTTTCCAGCTGCAGGAGGTGCCGGCTTTCAGTGGAAAAAACAGATAAATCCACTGTGTGCTACCTGCTCAGCAGCACAGAGCCGACAAAGTTAGCAGCTAATTAACAATGTGCATAATTTAGCAACTAAAAAGCCTCTTTTTTTCTTTTTTAGGTAGCAACTAAATTATAGCTCAAAACCTTACATTTATCAGGTGGACACAAACACAACCCCAGTGTTACTTCGTGTTTGCTGGATGTGTATGAAGGCAACTGCTTGCTGCTAACAAGCCAGCCATGTCAACTTTATAATATATGTAATATATATGTCTAAACAGTCTTTCTGTGCAGCCCCAAAAATGATTCATGCTGGTTTAAATATCAGTGTTGTAAAGCCAGCAACTGAACACAGACTTTAAATGGTTTTACTTACTCAAATTGAGCCAAACCTTGACAGGTGGCTATGGAAGGAACTGACAAACAGCCTATTTTTGGTTTAGACATCAGAATTTGTTGCCACCCCTGAGCATGGGTACCTTACTCAGATTAGCTCAAGGGGAGCAATAACACCATTCCCCACTCATTTGTCGGTCTTGTTATTTAGCAGTGGGTAAACCGATATGTCTCCGTGTGGCAGGGAGGATCCTTGTTAAGGTGAAAAATGTCAGTAGAGGGCACAGCATGTACTCATAGAACTGAAGTTACTCTTGGGTTACTGTTCCTCCAGTCTGGTAAGGTCTGTTTCACAGTATCAGTCTTGCTTCAGCTCCCTCCATCCTTCTCAACTCAACCTGATAAAACACCTCAGCAACTAAAGATAACATACTACTGAGATCCTCACTTGCTCTTCCCTATTGCTGCTTCAATCTATTTAGTTACTTGATACGGGGAAAATGGAAGTTGAAAAATGTTCTGGATACAAAGAGCACCTCCAGATATTGGCTAGGTTTACAGTGCTTACATACCAATGCTTGCAATGTTACAACTATGACACACATAATGACACATTGCTCTTACATACTCATTTACAAGACCAAAATGTCAGAACACTTAAAAAGCAAAAGGAAAATAAAAACCAGGCTGACACTCAGTAATTGTAGTGAAACTTTGACCCACAAATAATTGAATTCACACTGCTGTTAGTGCATGGTGTACATGTGATGATTAAAGAGTTGCAAATAGGATGAAAAGATGAGTAGTTATCTTAAATGCATTAATTCCCATTAAAAAAGTAATTACAATTCACAGACACCATTCCCTTTCTGCGATGCTGATATTCCCTGATTCCCTGCTACAATTCCCTAATTTGGGTTCAGTGACACTCAAGCATCATATATCATAGTGTAATATACTGCAGCTGCATTTGTTAAAGGCAAATGACTGATGACGCTTCGAGGCACTGGGGGAGGAGATAATCAGTGTATTTAGTGAGTAACAAATTGCCATAAATTTGCAAGATGTCCATCATACTGTTAACAGCTTAAATAAAAATGTCTTGTGCAAAATATGTACAGTAACCAAAAGTATAC